TTTTTGGTCATAGGTCAGCATTTCCAAGAGGTATCCAATAGACCCATTTCTTCACCTGTAGGGTAAACCCTGTTGGCTGAGTTCCAAGGCACCACACCGTTCATACAGTTTTAGTCGTTTGGTAATCGATCTGCTTTTGACAGTATTCCTGGACACCCTAATTACCTGTCCAATCAAACCGATTATCCATCCAAAGCACTTGTTAAGAAAAACTTTATCATTATTATAAGTTTCCAAATTTTAGCCCGTCTTTCGCAGATTTTTATAAGGGCTTTGAGTGTCTGATCATCATGCTTTGAAGTTTTCGGTCAGACTTATTCAGAACCATCGATTTAATGTTAAACCGTTAAGGAGAACTTTGTGTAATCGCATTGCTGCTCTATATCATAGCAATAGTTATTTGTTTGTAACTTATTTCTATCCAGTATATAATACTACCATTCAGTTGACTGTTTGGATCGATATTAGTTTAATTGTCGCTTTGCGCTGAACCTCAATTTTTAAACTCGGTAATGATGGTCCAGCTTCTATGTATATTTCATCTCTCTTTAGCTGCTGAAGAGATCAGTATTGAGTTATTCGAATCAACTGTCCAGCGACAGCAGTCGGCAGCAGTTGTTTTGCTCGCATTGGTTGGTAGTCAGTACGGAAAAGAGATGCAGTTCAGCTTGACCGCCTCCACCCATAAGCTGAACACGGTGGAATCGTTTTCGGCCAAAAACAGTTCCTTGGCGTGGACGACAGGTAAAATGGTTTATATTTCGCACAGAACAACTACTCTCTTCTTAAATACGGCTGAACAGACTGATTCTGCTTTGGTACAGAGTAACGATTTATGAACCAACGACTTTAAGCATTTAAACAGACCAAAAATACGACACAGGATACTAATGATGGAAACATCGAAACCACATAAAACATCGTTTGTTTACGTACAAAGTAAACAATTATGTTAGCTGAATGGTTGACCAGTACTGATGTTTCGACTCATGTCTAACGGGACTTCTAGGTAAAATGGTTTGAAAGTTCTTCGGTTGTTCGCAACGGCTTATGTGTTCAAAAGTCGTCTTAGGCAAGATTTTAGTCCCTGCTACCGGTTAAGTAATTTTTAAGTGAAAGAAAAAGACAGAGCCCACCCATTCCGCACAGTGTTCGTATCCTTTGTCACGGTTGGCATTGTCGCAGGACTGAATGATTAATGCCCGCTTTGACGAGTTGCTCAGCCAGTGTCTTTTTTGATGATGTCGCTGTGCTCTAACCAAAAGGGCATATCCTTTTAATGCCGCGTGCTGCTCCGTCCCGTGATCTTCTCGCATTCTTCTTTGACTTGACTGGGGGAGGGAGGATGAAGCTTTGTTTTTCTCTGATTCTTTGTTATCGTCTGTCGTTCCCGTTCGTCCGTCATCATTCATCTTCTGCAGTTTCATAGAGGGTCTTTGTACTTTGGGTGAAGCTGTTCCGTGTTTCGTCTGTATAATATTTTCTGCATATACAGGGTATTACATTTAACGTCATTACGTCAATTCAGTGTTACGCAACCTTTCTAGCATTTCCCTAAAGCTTTTGGGATGTTCTTAACGAATTTTACCGGATAATTTTATTATCGCATAACTTGATTCAGTATGCTTTATTTTTCTTCAAGAATTTCGTAACTACAGAGTTTTATAACTCGGTCTATTATAGCTCTAACTGCAGACTGTTTTTTGTTTAAATGAGTTATAAGTTAGTTGAAGTTTAGATATTAATTATATAAAATAAACCTTGTTTTATGTTGTTTTCAGTATTATTCACTCTCGCACGAACCAAATGCTCAACCTAATGGCATTAACATTAAGG